AGTAAGGAGTCTGGCCGCCGCATTCTGCACCACTTGAAGTTTCCGCATTATCTTTGATAGAACTACATACAGAAGCTGCTGGTGAAAAAATGCTGTATTAAGAAGCATTCTTGGGTGAGAAGGAAGGGGCTGTGCCTTTTCTAGGATGATGCTGTCTAAGACAAATATATGTGAATGTCCAGATTTTTTTTCTTTAGAACGCTTTCCCCCTCTTACGCAAATCCATGCAGATTTGCCTGTGATGCACATGGGAGATGACTACCAGGGAAGAAAAAAGGGTTTGGGTTCCCTGTGTTTATATGGCACATTGCCTTGGATACATTTTTAAAAAGAGAAACCCATCAGAAAGGCATCTATAGGAACTCGGAGGAGGGAGATTTTTGGCAGAAATTATATCAGCCATCCTGGGACTCTGCTGTTATTCTCAGTTTTATGCTATTTGGGAGCCAGCTGTTTGGCTGAATCCTAAATTGCCATCCTAATAGGGCACTTAATTATTCCACACAAATGTGTGAAGTGTTCCTAGCTGCTGACTAGAAAAAATTTATTCATTTTCTTTTTCTCATTCCTTTTTTCTCCAGCCTTTTCTTCCCCCTCCCCAAGAGGTTTTAGTTTTAAGAAAAGAAAGTGCACGTGGCACTTAAGAAAAACAAAATGAAACCTTTTTCCTTTGCCAGAAGCAACATTTGTGAAACTGGCACAGGGGGTTGGGGCGGGTTTGCCATGGAATGACGTGAATCATCTTTAAATCCAATCCTGAAAGTAGGTCTTGAAGAGTCATGTTTTAGGGATCCGTCCTTACATGGAAACATTTATATTCTGCCTTTCTTCTGTTATGAGGCTCAAAAAGGCTTATGCAGATCTTTCACAAGCGCTTCCATTCATGTACTGCTGCTGACCAACTCCAAACCGGCTTGCAGCGCAATCAGTACTCACTTCTGCAACTTCCCCTTGACTTGGCTGGACTCTCCGCCACCTTAAGAACTTCAGAATATTATGGAAGCCCACGTTTCTTCCGATTAGTCGTTGCCCAGAATGGTTCCGTTGGATTTTGTTCTTTTATCCTCAGAAGTTGAATTTAGTGAAAACTAAGTCCAGAAATAGCCTTTAGAGGAGCATGCAAAACATGTGAGGGAAGAGCTGTCTTTCTTTCTTTCTTTCTTTCTTTCTTTATTTATTTATTTATTAT